CCTCATTTCACCCACCTCGGAAGGATGGAAGGCTGAGTCAACCTTGAGCCGGTGAGATTTGAACCACCGAACTGCAGATAGCAGTCAGCTGAAGTAGCCTGCAGTACTGCACTCTAACCACTGTGCCACTTCGGCTCCATTTTAAAAAATGTCAGCAGCTCACCATCAGAAATATAGGTGTTACTGAGTCTTTAATACTTAGTTAATGACAGGTATTACTTAATTAATGACACCCCAACAACTGTTGGAGCTTGCAATACCACTGAACAAGTGGTGCTGACAACTGCTTCTCTAAATTCCAGCTGCTGTAACGATCCCATGATCATTATTTGTGACCTTCCTTTCTAGCTTCTCACAAGTAAAATCAATGGAAAAGTCATGATCACAATGACATCCTTAACTCAACAACCTATACAGTCCTCATTTAATCCTGGCAATCACTGACAATTGACATTGTTCAGCAAGAACGACCTGTAACTTCTTATTCAATAACCAAATTCTTTTAAACTGATCAGAGGTTTTAATACCAAGACCATCCATGTATAGAGCAATAGCAACAGCACTTAAACTTACTGGTATATATTGCTTTACAGTGCTTTACAGCCCTCTCTAAGCGGTTTACAGAGTCAGCCTATTGCCCCCAACAATCTGGGTCCTCATTTTACCAACCTTAGATGGAAGGCTGAGTCAACCTTGAGCCGGTGAGAGTTGAACTGCCAAACTGCCGGCAGTCAGGAATTAGTCTACAGTACTACATTCTAATCCCTATACCACCATGGTATATGTTATTTGATTTTACTCTCTAGTGTCTAGTACACAAAAACAGGTACATTGTATTGTTCTGTGTGTTACAGCTTGAAATTGTATGTCTTTTGATCCTGTAAAACCATATATATTTTAGCAATAATAAAAGAGTTCCTACATACGCAGGTTTACGAATGTCAGCATTCAAAACTACAGACCTGCATACATTTCCCGTGCGCAAGGCTCATTAAAAATAAGATTGATAACAACATGGCTTCTCCTCCAAATTAATAAATTTAGGACTAATGAAAGAGACATGGTATTTTCCAAGTAAATTCATATCTTTTTTTAAAAAAAAGCCCATAAGCAATATCTAATATCAATTTCCATCACTGCTTAGTCATATGTCAATCAAGCCTCTGATTTTCATATAGTGAGGAAAAAAGCCTCCAATAGGTACCATGTTTTCCCGAAAATAAGACAGGGTCTTATTTTCTTTTGACTCCTGCAATAAGCCCTTGGCCTTATTTTCGGGGAGGTCTTATTATTTTTGAGGTGCAGGAGGCAGCGAGTGTGGGTCACCTCATGGCTGCTGCTGTGTTGCGATATTTTGGGAGGAGGGCTTATTTTAGCACATGTGTTCA